GTAAAAATTTATTTATAGTCCTTCATTTTATTAAATTTGAAAGTTTTAATATTTTATCTTATATTATGACACTTTTAGCCCCTCACTTTACTAGATTTGTAGGTTTTAACTCATAACCTATTAAAATTGAAGAAATAACCCTTACTTTATATTGACTATTAACTCTATTAGCTAAAAATAAATTTTTATCAATTCTATTAGCTAAAAAGAAACTTTTATCAACTAACAGTCAACTAATGGTTAATTAATAGAATTAATAAAATATTATAAAGTTAGTTTTGTTAACTCTGTTAGCTGAAAAAAGATTTTAACAGCTAATAGTCAATTAATAGTCAGCTAACAAAACTAATAAAATGTTACAAAATGAGGGCTATTTTTTTCAATTTTAATAGGTGAGAGGCTAAAGGTGTCATAGTATAAAGTGAGGGACTAAAACTTACAAATTTAATAAGTTGAGAGGTTAAAAATGTCATAATATAAGACGAAGGGTTAAAATCTTCAAACTTGATAATGTGAGGGGCTAAAAGTAGACTTTTTCTGCAATGTCGCAATTTGGGATCACTAGTGTTGGATTTTGGTTACAATTGGAATTGAATTATTAGTTAATTACTACATTCAGTTTTTTTAGTTTTGTAATTACTAAGTAAACTGTGAATAATTGATTTTATAACTTTTACTTATGCTTTTATTAAATATATTCGAATTAGTTTCACTATAATAAAAAAATGTTGTATTTCTTCTTATACTCAATTTGTTACCACTTGTTATAGAATATTTACATTATAATTATATTGATTAGGTTTACATTATAATTGATTGATATAATTAGGTTTATTGATTTTGTACCATAAAAATTCTCTTGTATAGACCTATAAATAAGCACATTGTATATTTAGTGAAATTAAAAAAGAAAGAGTTTCTTTCTTCATGAATCGTTATATTTTTCTTCTCTTTATTTTTTCTATCATGGTATCAAAGCTTTGAGGTTTTTTTTACTATTATTGTTCATCTCCTTTGTGAGTTGCTACTTTGCTTATAAGTGGTGCCAATCATCATCATCTTTGCTTTCTTTCTTGGACTTATCTGCAATTCAGTTTTCTTGATCTTGTTCCTTTGTTGTGCTAGCAATTCGTGTTACTCCCACGGCCAATGTTGCTCTAGCCTTCTTGCATCCAATTGCTACTAATTTTACTCTAGATTTCCTACTATTGATTTTGCTCTTGATTTCTCGCAATTGAACTTTCAACATTGCTATTGCCTAGATTTGATATTTCCTCCTTCTCTTCCAGCGACATCGACTACAATGATCTGCATATTCAGTATGTATATCTTTTCACCAAAAACTCACTTTCGTGGACACTTCTGCACTCTTCTTTCCAAGCTCAAGTTGTTCTCTTCATCACCACCTTGAGTTTGAGGGGGATCCTACAGAACATTCATATTATAATTATGTTGATTGGGTTCACATTATAAATGATTTTGTACCATAGAATATTCTCTTGTATAGACCTATAACCAAGCACCTTGTATATTTAGTGAAATTAAAAAAGAAAGAGTTTCTTTTTTTATATATTTTTATATTTTTCTTCTCTTTATTTTTTCTATCACTACTATAATAATTAATTTTCTACTTGCATAAGAAAAATTTATAGTTCTTTTATGCAAGAAATGATTAAATGATGGAAAACTTGGTACATAACCGTAAGAAGTTTCAAGGTAAAACTTCTAATTTAATGTTGGTTTTGAGAAAGGCTCAACAATTAAGGGATGAGTTTTTTCTTGCACAATAATGTGGATTAAAAGCTTCTGTTGATTCATCGGCCAAAAAAGAGCAGCATAAAGAAATCTTTTGGTGTCCTCTAGTTGATATGGAGTTGAAATTTAATACAGATGCTTTTTTATCTTTGGAGCTTTCACAAGTAGTGATGGTGACTGTATGTTGAGAGATGAATGGGGTTTTGATTGATGGATGCTCTTTTAAACAAGCAATAGATTCGGTTTTGGTAGCAGAGGCATTAGCTCTTTAAGCTGCAATAGGAATGACACTTTCTCTAGGAGTGCACATGGCTTTTTTTTAGTATGATAATTGAACTCTAATTTGGATGGTGATGAAAGAAATGGTATTGCAATGGCAGATTGAACCTCCGATTCAATCTATAAGGCTATTTTCTTGTAATTTTGAATCTTGTTAGTTTCTGTATATAACTAAGCAAGCAAACAAGGTAGCTGATTAGGTAGTCAAATTTACACTTAAGGACCAATGTCCACCATACTGGGTTCACAGTCCTCCTAATTTGGTGCAATGATTATAGTCGGATGTAAATCACCACTAATATAATGCAATTTTAGGTACTATTAAAAAAAAAAAAAACCATACAAAATATCAACATTAACAAAAAATTTTAAAAAAACGTTGTTTCTTTTAGATTCTTAATTTGACTAACCCAATTCATCGGTTTTTTCATTTTTCAAGTTCTTTATAAAAGGTAAACTATTGTAAAAGCAGTGCAACAGGAAAGGGAATTTTTCCCATGGGGTTTACCCTTACGCAGATAAGTTATCGCCATTATTAGGTTGTGAACCATTTGGCCCACCCCATACAATTAATGGAGCAACATCATTGATTGAACTGAATCGATATGCTAATCAACTATTCACTCATGTAATGATAGCAAATTAGTAATTATTTATCAACTAAAAATACAATAAATAAAATCTCGCCTTAATGAAGGTTTTGAAGCTCTTAATCGGTTTAATGCTTGCATGGCAGTGTGGTTGACAGTTTTTCCACAACCATCGGCCAAATGGTCAGCTAGTTACAAAAATTAATAAAATTAAGGACATATTGAGCAATCCATAATTCATAAAAAAAAGGAACATCTAATTAATCATGGCTATAAGTCTGTTTTACCTTAGTTGCCTGCTTGTGCTAACTTGTGACATGAGAATGATAGTGCTCTGCAACAACGAAGACCTGATGTGCCTTTAAAAGACTTATCCAACTATTTTATCATTTCTTAGAAGCTGTATTATCGCCTCCCTAGCAGTGTTATGGTTAGGTGCATTAGCAATAAAGAGGCTTATCATAAACTTAGAGAAATTTATGATCACACATGTGGTCAAGACAACTTTGGAAGCCTATACTGTCAAATATAGTGAGTAGGATATTATTGGCTAGACATGGCACGTCAAGCCACTAAATTTCAGCAACGATGTGTATTTTGTCAACAATCTTATTATCAATATGAGGAATGCTTTGCTATTAACAGTGTTCAAGATTGGTGCCATCCTTATATAGAGTATTTTGTTGAGGGAAAATGGCCAAAGTCTCCAAAGGATGTGCACAATTTAAAAAGATCTTTGTCAAAATTTTTCATGAATGGTGGAGTTTTATTTCGCACTAGCTTTGCTAGTAAACCATTTTGCTGCTTGTCTTTGATAGAGTCCCAGAAGGTTATGGTTGAGATACATGCAAGGGATTGTGGTGAACATTAAGAATGAAGAAAGCTGTATGAGCAACTCTTAGCTTATGGATACTATTGGCCAAGTATGAAACAAAATGTTGTAGATTTCATTCGGCGGTGTCACACCTACTAGGTTCATGCTAACCTTATTCATTCTCATCCTAATCTGTTATAAGATATGAAACTCCTTAACCTTTTCATACTTTGGGTTTAGATCTTATTGGCACTATCCATCTTGTATCTGAGGGTTATATATGGTTGTTAAGGGCCACTGAATATTTTATTAAGTGGGTGGAAGCTATTCCTCTTTGTAAGGCTATAAGTCCAACGATGTCAAATTTTATCAAGGAGTATATTATTTGTTGCTTTAGAATCCCATACAAAATTGTGAGTGATAATGGAACTCCTTTTGTTAATTAGCATGTGTAAAGATTGCTAGATACTTATAAGATCTAGTATAAAAAATCCACTCTATACTACCCCCAAGGTATGGCCAATCCAAAGCAACTAATAAAAGTTTGCTATAAGGATTTTAAGTAAAATGGTCCATGAGTATGAAGGAGGTTGGAGCACTTATTTGTAAGACACTCCTTGGGCTCATTGGATATCCTCCGAGGCTATAAGTTTTTTGCCATATTTCCTTGTATATGGCTATGATGTTGTCTTTCTTAACAAAATCCTAATTCCAACTACACGTATCTTGGCTGCATTCGAATTAAACAGTAATGCTAACATCTATGGCCAAAAGCGAGTTAAAGACTTAGAATCCATTAAAGCACTTTGCTAGGTAGCATAAGAAAAGGATAAAAAAATATCAGTCCAATATGACAAATGCTTACAACCATGCAATTAAAGCTAGAGTTTTCACCGTTGGGCAAATGGTTCTTAAAACCTCCAACCATGTGAGGAAGAACATTGCTAACCCATCTAAGTTTGCTACAAAGTGGGATGGCCCTTTCATTGTTGCAGAAGCACATGACAACGGTTATTATCTATTCCAAACTCACAAGGGAGCGTCATTACCAGACCTCGTGAATGCTAAGTGGCTTGAGCTGTACTACTTCAAAGCTTTACCAACATTGCTCCTTGATCGGTATGTACTCTCTTTTTGTAATTTTACCTTTAGTGTTGTGATTTATTCTAGCCAAGAGGATTAATTTCATCTATCTTATTCGCAATCACGTGTAAGGTGTGTATAGCATTCTTTTGTTATATTTGGCACACTATATATCAGTTTCCTTACACTTCATTTATTTCGCTTTGTCATTGTGTAATGACAAGGAGTGTTGATAAAAAAAATAATATATAGTAAAAGTGCAACACATAAAAGTACATATATATATATATAAAGAAGAAGAAGCACACCATGCAAAATAATTATAAGACGACCTCCTTGATCCATGCTTTATCATATGTAAATAGTTATATTTGTTCAAGTCCATACTCAACACACAAGAAATTCACAAGTCATGAAGAAAGCAAGTGTTCAAGTAAAGAAGTCCAAACTTTGCTATACATGAAAATGTTCAACCCAAAACAACAACAGCAAGAGGGTTACAATGTGGCAATATCGCCAACAATCATCACACTACAAAAGAAACAAAATAAAAGTCTTCCATGATGGAGAGAAGGCTAGATATAAGGCTGCTCATGGGTGGTAAAAACTAGGCTCTTCACTATAAGTCTTGGCGATTTCAACACAGGTCTGGCAAAGCTGAGCAATCTCGTAGAACCCATGCTCTCTTTTCCTTAGTTGAGTGATTCTAGATGTGCCTTGGCTAATTTCAACCCTTCTTCCAACTTATGGATGAGCTTTTTCGTCTTGGCCAATGACTTCTCCATCTCTTTAACATGTTTTGCTTGCTCCTTAATCTGCTCATCTAAGTTCATAGCCATATCACCTCCAACCATGTTGAATTCGTCCTTGCCAAGGTATGCCTTCACCAAATCTAATAGGTGTGCTCAGATGGTGCCAACTTCAAAGTTTATGTTCTTAGCATCATCGATGGCATTCCTACACAAGTAAAAGAAGCCTTCATTCATTTCGGCAAAAAGGGTTACCTCCATGTGTTGCATGGCCATACAAAAGTTCATGAAAACATCTTTAATCATCACTTTCTTGGCCTTGCTGTGCACAATTAGTTCTGAGATGGTGTGTCCATGTCTCCAACATTGGGTGCACTTCAAATTTGCCCACTTGTCAAACATTACTAATAGGCATCATACCGAATAAAGCCAACAATACATCTCTATCTTCGTTCATCTCATTTAAGTCTTTGAGTAATTTCACAACAAAGTCATTAGCCTCACTTAACTTGGCTAGAATTGAGGGTGATTGACCACTATGCACGGCTTTGCTAGAACTAATAGCCTTCTTTGCTGCACTCATGGCCAACTCATCAATTTTGCTTTTATCTTTGCTAGGAACAAGCTCTTTCAAAGCATTGCCTACATCCAACTTAAACTCCTCAGGTGTAGCATTGTTTATGTCTAATCTACCATGGAAGCCTTCATCTTTGCCTCTTTGCTCAAAGCCATTATCACTCTCCGATGACTTATCACTATCGATATACTCATCATCACTACTATCACTTGACTCAGAGCTAGTCTCTTCGGGCCTCCTTACCTTTTCTTTCATTGGTAATGGCTATGGCCTTAGCTTTACCTTTCTCAGTTTTTGGTGAAGTAAATACAGGGCAATTAATCACCAAGAAGTTTTGTTATCAAGCATAATTAGGTACTAAAACTTGAACCTTATTCCTTGTTACTCATAGTAGCTTTCTCAATAGTGGTGGTCTCAACACTTTCTTTAGTTGGAGGCTTCCTTGGGACCAATTCAATATCACCAACTCTGAACAAAGGCAATTCACTGATAGGATGTGGCTGCACAAAAAAAAGGACATCTGTAAAAAATGGCCAAGTAAGAAATATAACTTCGATAGTGATAAATGTGTTCTTTGGCTCTTATGAAAGTGGAAAACCTTACACCTTTAACACCACCTTCCTTGGCTGAGCATTTGCTATTTCAGATTTCTTCGCTACGTCGAAGGTGCTATATGAAATCCATGCACCTCTCTTGGCCTACAATGGAACAAGAAGGACTCATTAATTGTGTTTTGACATTTTTCAAGATATGATTCCTTAAACATTATTTACAAGTGCAAACAACTTACCGTGGTAGATTTTCATGGCAAAGCTACACTAGCCTTATTCCTTTCCTTGTTGTGTCAACTGTGAAGGATGTGGGGTCACCCCAATCAATAATATTGTTAACAAAGCTAAGTATGTCATCAAGAAGTAGAGGCTCACTTGCTTTGCCAACCAAGATCTTCCGATGAATTTCAAGCGTTGCCAAAGCTTCCCCTACTTTCACCGCCAAGGCTTTTACTTTCTTGGCCTCTTGAGACTTAGATGGAGCTTTATCATCGCTAGGAACGGGGATAGGGCCAAAACCTTTGTTAAAAGCTTCCGACTGCTTGTGCAAACATTAACCTATATATAGGAGAATTCTTATTGAGGTCAACTGCAATCAAGAATTCACATTAAACACATAAAGAAGGATCCAACAATATACATACCTAGAGCAAGGCCCTTGAGTCATAATATTTCTCACCCAATCGTTTACCATCGCAGACAAGGCTTAATCTTTTGATCCACTAGATTTTCTCCAAATCTAACTTGCCCCAAAAACTTTGCTCACTATTGGTGTCTTCGCTTTTCCCTTTCTCCTTGGTGGCTTTTGCCTTGGAAGGTGTACGTGATTTAGCTTTACTTTGCTTGCCTACTGGTAAAGCAAAAGGTTTCTGTGCCTTACTCTTAAGTGGTTGTGCCATGCTTTTTCTATTGTCCAAGACTGGTTTTTTTAAAAAAAAATGGCTTGGTTGGCTTATGCTGTAACATTACGTGGAAAAGAATGAATATAAGACACTTTCTATCATATATTCAGCCTAACTAAGCTTTTGAATGAAAGAAGAACCATAGTTTAAGGCAAAAATGGGGAATGATTATTTACCTCCAGCCTTGACATTGCCAACTATTTGTTACCCTTGTTCTTTGCTAACACCTTCACTCTGGTCATGTTCCTCCTTCGTAATACCAAGAATAGGCAAGCATACAAGTACCCAATTTTTTTCATCTTCTCTAGTAAAGAAACCCCAAAAATGTTTGTTGCAATAACTCAAGAAAGAATTATTGTGCATAAAAAGATTATCACAATCTCAAGAAGCGACATTATATGCCACAATTTCTAGTGGTGACTAGATGAAGGCACCAAACTTTTTCAACAATATTTCCCAATATTTCAACATCAAGGGTGACATAGTTGATGCCCTAGTATGGTTGAAAAATCTTAGTGTGGCAACACTTTCATGCCAGATGGCTAGGGCAACCTAGCAACGTAAGGCCACAGGGCCATATCCTAATCTAAGTTGTTCAAAAAGAGGGAAGAGGGATATCTTGGTCGTAGCCAAACCTATCGTACAACTCTTTTCGGACAATAACTCTCAAGGCCCCATAACCCTTACCACATGATGCATGGCAGCATGAATGACGTTGTCATTGCCAACATCTCTAAATGGCCCAAATTACCTACAACAAAGTCTACTATCTGATTTCCCAGCACTACTACAAATGTCCCATCAGAGAAGCTCCCTTTAGGTGGTGTAAATGTCCTCGGCATCATTTTATATGCATGAATGTTAAAGCTACCATGATCATCAAGAAAATTGTAATCTTCAAGAAGTATCTGCTCTTTCACCTTCCTTTTTCTTATCCATGAGTAGGCAAACGAAGTAGTCCCATTAATATAACCACACTTCCTCCTGGGATATTCCTTCAAGGCTTTACCATTGGTAACACAGCCAATGATATGAGTGGAACCTTTCCCACATAAACATTTGTAGTAAACACAAACAAACATATATCTTAATAATATAATGTCTAGCACCAAGAATCTCATCAAAATGAAGTAAGTCAAGCATGTGATAAAGTGTACCTAGCATCAATGAAGCCAATGGAATTCTCATGCCTTTAGCCAAGCATATGGCCAATGGGATACACTCAACCATGATTTCATGATTTAGAAAACCTTTGAAGATAAACTTGCTCAGCCAAGCTGTGAAAAAGGCTTTGTGCACAAATGGACTGTCTTTGCCTTTGCCAATCTTGAAAATATCACATCCAAGTTAAGAAATCAAAGCGATACTCACCCCTCCATAACTGAGGAAAAGCACTTGCATTTTTCTTCATCACTTTCTTCAAAGCAACTTGGATAGTGCCCACTTTTTGTGTCGAGGTGATATGGTGGGGATCTTTGTCTCTAATAATAGGCAGCAGCATTAGGTTCACTACATTTTCCAACATTGTTGACACTTCCCCAAAAGCAAGGAAGAAGGTATGAGTACTGATGCACCATCTTCTCACCAAGTGGTGAAGACACTCGACATTGTCAATAATCTATAAAATCTAACTCAAGGCTATAGACTTAAGAATCCCAATAATGCGAAGTTCTTCTACAAATCTTCTTTGGCCAACATGTCTTGGGCCCAATTCTTCCAATCCTCCACCTTGCCTGATGGGCACATAAAATGAATCGACACTAGTAATAGGTCTCCCCTTTCCAACCTTGCTCTCATCAAGTCTTTTTGGGATGGAAACCATGCCATGTTGATGTCACCTTCACTAAAGAGTCTAAGCAAAACTAAGTCTTTTTGCTTTTCAAGCACCCTTTTGACAAACCAATCGTTGAACTCCAAAAATCCACCTCGAAAAATATACCATTGGTCATAATATAGGTACACCCCATCAATTGAAAGAAAGTCATCCATTTTTGAACCCCTTCATACAAAAAGAAAGAAGAAAGAAAGAAAAGAAGACAAATGAAAATTTGGGTTAGAAAAGATGAAGAAACTCACAACATGCAACAAAAAAAAAAAAAGGAGGAGAAAAGAAGTTCAATGCTGACCTCAGTTTAAAGGGGTGTTTGGCCAAATCCACACCCAAGCTTGCTTATTCGGGTCAAATCCAAACATAGTGCCTTGAAACCCACAAAATTTTGTGGAAGATTAATGAAAATTGAAGGTTCAAAGGAGGGAAGTTTAGTAGTTTCACAAGAGAAAAAGAACTTGAAAAGCTTCGACAAAGGTTGAAGAAGATGGAAAAAGGGGATTAAAAAAGGGCCTTAAATGCATCAACCAACTACCCTTGCCACATGTCAGTCATCAGTATGGTTGGACACCATCCAAAGGATTACAAGCGAGGTGCATGGTAATATCCTACACTTGCTTGCACTTGATTTCCCTTAATATCTCCCTTTTTTGTGCGACAATCATGACAAGATTTTTGGAAAAGTGAATCTTGATCCTTTAACAAGGGAGGAAGTTATCTTTTTAGCTATTGAAAACTACTCCAAAGGCAATTTTAATTCCTCTTTGGATTTAAACTACATGTGAACAATGCCTAAAAGGTTAAATGCTAATTTTGGTCCCTCAATTTTAAGGCTTTGCACAATTTCATCCCTCAACTTTTTTGTGCACTTTTTTTATCTGTTAACTTTGAAAAATGCACTTTTTAAGTCTTCCACCAATTAATTTGTTAAGTCTATTTAAATTTGCACATTTTTCATGCCTCAACTTAAAGTTGAGATGAGAAAAGTGCATATATTAAAAGTTGAGAGACTAAAAATGTGTAGATTCAGATAGACTTAATGGATTAACTGACGGAATGACTAAAAAAGTGCATTTTTATAGTTAAAGGACTAAAAAAGTGCAAAAAAAAGTTGTGGTATGAAAATTATGTAAAACCTTAAGTTAAGGGACCAAAATTGGCATTTAACCAATATTTTTCTACAATATTTGTTCTGAATTTATTATTTTTCCAAGAAGTAACAGTGTAACCCATATTAGAACTCTAGCGAAGTTGTGACTCGAAGTGTGCTTACCAACCTTATATCTACGTCAAACAGAGTCATCGCCCAGGTATTTCTAAATTGTACTTGGCACTTTTTCAAAAAATTATCTTGTGAGTGAATTCACAAAAAAGAGCAAAGCCAAACGCAAGAATAAGTTTTTATGCATAGATTAATTTCAACTTCATGAACTGAGCCTCATTTGAGTTGCTTATTATCTTGGCCAAATTTGGTCTTGCCCTATCCATGTCAAAGCATCATTGTCAGTGGCATCGGATGTCTTGGCTGAAGTTTTGCTTTGGCCATGATGGATTCTATCTTTGTTAAAGCTTCATCAATGATATTAGATTTCTTGGCTAGAGTTTCGCTCTAGCCTTGTTCATCATTATCAATTGTGCCATACTGGGATTATCAATATTGCTGTTATCTATTTCGCTCGGTTGGACTTAATATAACCTTGCTTCTATCAAAGTCAAGCCAACATTAGCAGATTACTTGGCTGGAGTCGAATTCTGTCAGTGTTGATTCTTTTGCACTGCATCTGCTTTAATAAAAGGGTCCACCTAGATTATCAATTTCTATAGTATTTGACATGTTCTTGATCGTATCCAGATGATTTTAACAACTCATCTCCCTTAATGCCAAGCGACAAACTTGCTATCTTAACTTCACCCACTTGGGGGGCTAATGTTAAGAGATGAATTTGTGTTGCTTTGGAATTCACAACACGTGTAGCCATGCCAACAAGACCGACTTTGGACTTGTGACTAGGAAGGGCTCACATGATTTATTTCCACGTTAGATCTGTTGTATATTATTTTCTACTGATGACTACAACAAAGTTAGCATTGTTAGAAGCAAGGTTTTTAAAACCGGACCGGTCATTGAACCATTTTTGGGTCTGGTTTCTGGTTTGATCGATTCAACCGGTTGAACCGGTGAACTGGCCGGTTTATATAACAAGGGAAATTTGATGAGAGGAATAGGTAATTTTGTAATTTCATTAAAATTAAGGGTTAAAATCGGTATAAAAAAGGAATGGTGAGGGTGAAATTGAAAAAAATAAAAAGAAAATTGCATGAGAAATTGAACTGGTGGTTTTTTTGGTTCTACCGATTTCACTGGTTTTGATCGGTTTTGACCTCAAACGATTTTTTGTGTGAACCGAGCTGTTTTCATTACCGAGTACCTGTCCGATCGGTTCAACCGATCGGTCCGGTCCGGTTTTAAAAACCTTGGTTAGAAGTGGCGTTCATCTACTTCGTTGGAAAAATTACAGACATGGTTTACTTTAATATCATTTTCATATACACGGCCAAACTTGGCTGCATCTATCTCCATAACATGGCTAGACATCTTTTTTTTTTACGGCCATGATCTCTACTACTATGTTTATTGCTACAATTGGCCCTCAACAATAGATAAAGAGCCTATCTTGCTATAAATACATAGCTCCCATCAAAGGGTAACAGGTTGATTCTATTACATCTACATAACTCCTAGCGATAGACAAAAGGCGAAAAATTTATTTGTACATATCTCTATCATTAGTTCCCATCAATGGACAACAGATTGATTCTATTACATCTACATAACTCTCAATGATGGACAAAGGGTCAAATTTGCTATCTCATTTAGCCTCCAACAATAGACAAAAGGCTACATACTTCTACATATCTTCATTACACTAGCTCCCAAAAACAGACAAAGGGTCAGATCTCTATATATTCTATTCTTACTAGATCCCAAAAACGGACAAAGAGTCAACGTAAATCGGTACGATTAGCGTGAGGCCAGTAACAATTGCAACCTTGCAATTACTTTGGATGGCTACCTTTTAGCGATAAAAATCTATCAAGTTGCTGCCGGTAGCTCTTTGGTGGTTACTTGTCATTGGTGGTCACTCATCAATGGTGGTGCGATGCCTGGCGAGTAACTACAACTAGAACTGTTCTTTGATGATGCGGGTATAGCAAGAAGGGCCATCATTTGATTGTGGTATCACACCTTGTCCATATCGAAGGCCATCAATGTGGCTAGCATCCCCTTTCCATGTACAAAACTCCACCCATTTTTATCACATATTCATAGCTATGGCAAAGTCCTAGATTAATGAGATTCATCCTTTTGCAACTTAGCAAATTAATGGGAATACTCTTCCAATTCCACTTAGTTCATGCTTCAGCCATTATTGTCCCTTTGGCTATAGGAAAACTATTCAATGTTGATCCTATGACATTTATACAACATGGCTGGTGGTCATGCACATCATTATTCTTTTATATAAAAAGACAAAATTACATGTCACCAGTAATCCCGATCTACAGCATATTTCTTCTATATCTTTATGTGTTAACAAGTATCATCGACTAGCGACGCTTGGCTTGATAAAACAATACTGTAGCACACATTCATGTTACTCGTTCTCTATTTTGGTTCATCACCAGATATACATAGCAATATTATACAAGTGCTCCTTATAACTAGTGGATAAAGAGGCACAATGATGCTTACTCTCATCATCCCCTTCGATACATAAAGGAGGGTTTTTTCTACTCAACATACTTATATATTTTCCTACATTTGTCTATTTTAACATATACCCACTCATATTTTTGTTCTTTGATGTAGATGAACACAAACCCATAAATCCAAACTCATGAGAATTATTGGGGATAAACTTTAGGAGTAATGGTTGGTAGGCATGGATGGATGAATGAATGTTGCCCACTTGGTGAAGCGAAGTGTTCTTGCCATCCAAGCTTGGGGTTGGCAATGTTGCTCGGCTTTGCCAAAAATGACTAGGTGGCAAAAATGTGGAGGCAAAACTTGATTTCAAAACCACATCGTTTGATGTAAACTAGAAGGCTTGGAATCCCATTAAAAATCAACTAGAGATGTCATTTGAGTCTCCATCAGCAGTCTACAGCTATATTTAATGTTTAGGTGGCTGTATAAGTTTCACTGCATTGGGAACTAATGAAAAAAATTATATTTTGCTTAGGAAAATCACCAAAATCCTAGATAAAGACAACTTTGCTAATGATGCTTAAGTGCCTCCCATATATGGTATTTCATATAGACATAAAGCAACTAAAAATGAGGAATCTCCAGCAAACCAATAGTCTTTCATTGGAACCACTAGACAATTCATAATTTCACTTTAAAAGGCTCTCAACAGTGCCCAAATCCATTCAAAACTTGACGCCTGTCCTGACATGACCCAAATCTACTTGTTGGGTTGCTAGGTTACTTTGGCTGTACCAACTCAAAATGACCAAAATGCCACTACATATATATCTTTTTTTATTTTTCCTTCAGATTTTAACAAATTTGAGAAATTGGAGAAGCTCTTCACACACTAGCCCCCGTCTTTTGCTATGAAGAACCCTTCATCTTCAACCCCTTGTCTGACACATCAAAATTTCTTAGAAATCTTCATTTTTCTCATATTTTTTGCACTTTCAACCATACAGAACACATTCCAGACTTGCAACACATCATGGTTAGGGGACTGCACACT